TACTGTACTGTACTGTACTGTACTGTACTGTACTGTACTGTACTGTACTATACTATACTATTTAATAGCCATAATTGAAAGAGAAGTTTAAAAATTAAGGGCAAGGGTAGAGAAAATTCAGTGGCACGGCATTATATTTCTTTCTTGTGTAACAACAGCCTCCTAAGGCAGACTAGACTGAGACAGAAATGCAAGATTTTTTTACTATTATCTATTTATAAGAACAGGTTAGTTAAAGCTTATTCGTTTTGCCCTGAACCAATCCACATTTTTTTTGACATGCAACTAACTTCACAGCTAGTGTGGCCTTCAGCTTAGAATATTTTAAAGATGAATTTATATCTACATGTAGTCCCCAATCAAGCTCAGTCCAAAATCCCAGTTACTAAATGATGCAGTCATAAGGCTGCCATTGTTAACAGAGAGTTATGAGTGGTTAAGTGGAGACAGTCCAGGGTGCAGGGGTGACACGGGGGATGGGAGGGGTCCAGCTAGTTGGTGGGATTCTGCAGCCACCCCTGGAAGCCTCAGCCACCAGGGCCAGCAGTGCAGCACAAAGCAGGTGCATCCAGGAAGCCTCAGCCATTCCATCTAGCCCAACAATGGTTAGGATTGCAAGAGTTCTGCAACTCCCCGCACTCACCTTTCTCCCCCTCACCTATGCACTTTTGCCCTCCCTGCACAGCAACACTCAGTAGTGGCAGTATCACTGCTGGGGCTGAAGTAGAACCGAGGGCTGACAGAAGTCCCAGCATCTCCAGGGTTCTACTTCAGGCCCAGTGACACATCACTGCCACTGAGAAAAGCCATCCCAAGTACTCACCACGACCAGTCATGCCAGCACCATTGTGCAAAGCCCATTCTCCCTGCCACCCTCCACTCCCCAAGCTCTGCTGCACCCTGCTGACCTTCATTGCCTTAACCCATTTCTCCAACCCATGCGCCCCATTCTTTCTCCAAGCCATCCATCCAGTTCTTACAATCCTCCAAAAACTTGGTCTTCCTCAAATCTTGTGAGAGCTTACCCAGATCTCATGAGAAAAGACTTACAATTTGAGGAAAAAATGGCACTCACAATTTGAGGAATGGTCTTCCGAAGCATTGCCAAGAACAGGGTTCCTGCTGTTCTCCAAACTGTGTGCCTGTTCTCATGAGAACTATGGAAGACCAGGTTTCCAAAGGATCTTGAGAAAGGGACATTGCAGCTTAGAGAAAGAATGGTTAGCACAGCTTGGAGAACAGCACAAGAGCCAGTGGGGCACAGCAAAGTTTGTGGAGTACAAGGCGGTGAAAGCAAGTGGAACTTTGTGCTGGCATAACTGGCCATGAGGTAGGGTTTGAGTAGGTATTTCTCAGTTGCAACAGTGGTGCTGGAGTTAAAGTAGAGCTCAGGGTGGTGGGCAGATGGGTAAGAGTACAGTACTAAAGGTCTTGAATCTCTACTTCAGCCACAGTCCTGCCACTGCCGACACTTAAGTGCTGCTGTGTAAGATGGCCAAAGGGAAGGGGATAGACTGGTGGGGAAATTACGATGTAGTTAGAAGTGGAAACAACCTGCAAAGTGCCTGGAATTTGATCACATGAACGTGGATGCACTACAGTGGCCATAACTTCAGGCATGGGTTGTAAGTTCTGTTTTTCAGCACTATTACAATTTCAAACAGCCACTGAACAAATAAATGGGTCATATGTCAAGGACTACCTGTATATGAAGTAACTAACTTAACTATGTTCATGCATTTTTAAATTAAAAGTAAATACTTTTTTTTAATGCTATCTACCTGTATACTAGTATAACAATGTCCTTTCTCTCAAGCATATGTTCCCTCTACTCTGCCAACCTACTCTGGGCAGGACTACCCAAAAATCCATTTTAAAAACATCACAGTGACACTTTGGTCAACTATCACTAAGTAATTAACTTTCCCAATTTCATACACATTATTCTCCCTTTAATCACATCCCCAAAAAGATACTGCTTTCTAAGCTTTTTCAAGATCCTTAAAAAAGTGGCAAAGAAAATTGTAATGCACATACTGAAAACAGGGATATATATTAAAAACACCCTCATTTTAAAAAAAACTAACGATTACCATTTACAATTTATTTTGCATCCAAGAAAGCTTTAAGAACTCTGAACATACTTTCGTGATTCCTTGCAACATATAGAAGTTTTGCAAAAGAAAATAGAAAACACTTCCATTCAGGAGAAGCTCAGAATAGAAATAAACTTTATGATTGTAACACCATGATTACAAGACAAACAATGCAGTTTTGAAAACATTCTGCATTCCTTCCACCTGTTTTCACTTTGAGGGGGAAGAATAAGGCTATTCAGCTTGTCATTTGAATTTCTTTTTCTGTGTTACAAGCTGGGATCTGCCCAGCCAGCACAGAGTAAAAGCACAGAAGATTTCGTCCAAGATTCCTGGCATACCTTCTCTCACAGTAGATATGTTGAAAAGTGAATAAAAAGTATGTTGGTTGTTTCCTTTGTATAGGCCAGAGCATCCTAGCTTATGATCACACACCTTCAAAGTTTCAGTCTACTTCTTTTCAGTCCTAATTTGGCAACTTATTTATTACTTTCAACCAAAGGCTGGCATTGTAAAAACAAAAACTTTGCTTCATACAATTTATCTACAAAGAGATGATCATTCCTTAATTGGTTCGAGATCAAAGGAACCTGTAGGGCAATTCTTTTGTTCAATGGTAAAGCCTTCTTCAAATTAAACTCAATGCCAGGTGACTCATGGATACATCTAAGCTATTTGCAGGTGGTCCACTCTGCTTCCAGGTTACCCTTTCTACCTAGCCAATTCTGACAACAGCCTTTGCATTTCTTGGGAAAGGTATGTCTGCCTTATTAAGATTTGGAGATCAGCCAATGTCAGCTTGCTGTGAAAGACTACAGAAATTAGGGGGTTGATTTTGGAAGAAGAGATACATTAGAATTATATGCAATTGTATATGGTGTGCAAAGTGTAAATAGTGAAGTTTTTTTAATGTTCATTCAAGTGCAACTAAATTTGAGGTAATTCAGGACTGATAAAACATGCAGTTGATTACAGAATGCTTAAGTTGTGACATAACTTCAGATGGAGTGATAGACACCAATTTAGATATTTTAAATGGCGACTATACAAATATAGCAAAGAATCTGGCTGCCAATGGCTATTAGTAAGCACAGCAACCAAAACTGCATCTTGCATATTATAAATACCAGATGCTAGGTAGGGATAATGAAAAGAGTGCTACTATCTTCCAGTCCAGAACTATGAATTTCCTGAAGACACATTACTGGACACTGTGGGACACAGAATACTTATGACTGGTATAACATGTACAAGATCCACTAAGATAATTTTGTTCTTATGAGCAAAGCCCAATTTTCACTTGATAGAAAGAGTACCAGACTATAAAACTATTACTGTTTCTAGTTAGAACCAAGTTTATTCTTGCCAAACTGTATAGACCAGAATAGTTCTTATTCTAGCATAGAATACAAATGCTGCTAGCTAGAATATTTATGCCCACCCACTCACAGCTTATTTTTGTATATTCTGTCTCCTATGTAAGACCACTTATTCCGCATGTCAGATGCCCCCTCATGCAATGGGATCTCCATTCCCCAAATTCTCAAGAGATTGATTGAGGACGCCTACAGATGTCATGTTCTTGATGTCATGGTCCTGGATGGTTTTCCTCCCAAGAGAGTAATTTCATGCAAATAAAAGCAATTTAAATTATTGCAGGGAGAGAAAAAAGGGTTAAATATGCTAACTGGCTGATATATATTAACAGTGTTATTTTCTAGAAGTCTTCAACATTATTCATCATACTTTTTATACAGGTCATCAATGTGGCTCTAAACTTGTTCCCTGAGGTTTTTTTTTTAAAAGC